ACAATTATCGATTCTTCTATCATTTTTATATTTTATAAATATTAGCAACATATTGTTTTTTTTTTTTTTTGCTGTTTTAGTATTATATTTTTCAACACCTCATGAAATTCGATATTGCGGTACGATCAAACGCGCTTGACGGTGATATTAATATTGGAAACCAGATCCTCAATAAAGAGTAGATCAGCAAGGAACTCGTAAATGTACGTTGATAAGCAGCATACAAGAAAATCATGAAGTGATCGCAGAATAAAACGTATACTATATCATATGGGAAAGTATAGTAAAATATAGGAAAAAGAAACGACTCTGCAAAATATTTAATTTCTAATTTATAAGCTTAGCGACATTCAATTAAAAAAATACGTTCAACTTATATATTGCAATTAAATATTTTGATGTTAAATTAACAATCGTTAATATCGCGCACGTGTATGATGTAATGCTTTCAAAATAAAATTTTTGTCATTGATAGAAAACGCAAATATGTCTTTTAAATGATAAGAAATGTAGGCCGGAAATATTTACCGATGATATTTTCTAGAAATGAGTCACCAACTCCATGTCGTTGTGAAAATAATCTCGCGACAATATTACAACGCGTCTCGTCGTCAGCCATGAAATTCACGCATCGATGGACAATGGCCATCAATATTCATACGATAAAAGCATCAGTGCTCAAATTTCGTAGCTATTACAAGCTGTTTTCGCGACAACCCGGTATGTATGCGAATTCTGGCAATCGTACGGCTATTTTCGTAGAAATGATACATCGCTGCATGCACGAGAGAGGCACCAGTTTCTAATAATTTATAATATGCGACTATTGCGCGCCGATTTGTGTTTTTCGAATATACATAATAAATTATGGGATCAAACGGAAATTAATGAAAGCTAAATTCTCTTTTTTCGCGACTGTGTAATTTCGCGACTGCAGTCATTGAACGGAGGAAACTCGCTTTACAATGAATATTGTTATTCTCCGCATTACAAGGACACGAACGCGTTATAAACACGCGGATATACGACGCGAAACTGAATTCTCTCTTTTCAAACGAAAATCATGATTGAACGAATGAAGCTACTAAACGAGGGAAAATTGCATCATAGCAGTCGAATGTTACTCCCCCGCTACATGTTATTGTAGAAATAAAACCTTTGTATAACTATAGGGGTATGGAAATTAGATAAATTAGATAAATTATCGCTGCTGCAAATATGTATTTAATAAACAACGTGCATCGAAACAGGCGACAAACAATGGCAAAATGAAAAAGGCTTTCAGAGCGAGCAAAAGCGGGAATTCGAAGGTGATTTATAATAATCTGATATCTGATTTATTAATATAATTTGTGTCTCACATTATAATTAAAATATCGAATTATATGGACAAAATTGGACGACTTGGAACAAGTGACAATATTCGTCGACATTATCGTTAGATAAAAATCGTTCCCGAATTCTTCCCAGAAACGTTACTTGGACGTTAACGTTCCATTTTTCGGCAAATTCATAACTCGTTTCGAAGTCCGAGAACATAGAAGCTCATGTATTAAGTCGGCGCATGCTTTATAGAAGAAAAACAGGAAAGCTCTAATAAACTCGGGAATAAAGCCATAAAAAATTTCTCCACGATCAATGACAGATAGACAGACAGACGGCGGCAGAGAGTGACCGGCGACCGTATATTTCGCGCTCCATCGATCGGGGGGCCCCGAGCGGGCGACAAAAGAGCCAGCGACAGTACGCGCGGGACACGGAGTATTTAAAATCGTTTAACTAGAGGCAGTTAATTGCGCCAATAATTCCACCGATGGAATAATAATGTCGGTGCCGCGCAAGATAAATCCCGGAATGAGATCCAGAAGGGTTGCCGCCGCCGTCGCCGATGCCGATGCCGCGAGTCGTTCAACGCACGGCCAAGCACACTTTGTATAATGATATATTGAGCGACGCGTGGCTGTAATGTCGACATTTTGCCTTAATGTATCACGGAGAATACGACGGAAAAGAGGGACAGGAGAGAGAGAGAGAGAGAAAGAGAGAGAGAACGGGTCCCCTAAATATCTCGAATATACGAGAAAGGTGAAATGTTCTCCACCTCGATGACATCCCGGCGGTGGATATTAAAAAAAGTATTATGGTCGTAAGAGAGATTACTGTCGCATTGTTGTGCCGGGTGTATATTTTTCAGTGCCTGATGTAAATTTTATAAAAAAATATGCAATTTATATTAATTGTATAAATTTTAGATGAAATATTACATAGAAATGTATATGTGAATAAATTTTATCTCCATTAAATTACGATTATAAGCGCCAATAATAAATATCTCTGTCATATAGATAAAAATAAGGAAAGGAATTAATTAATTAATTAAATTATATAATTATTACTATATTGTTCATATAATATCATCTTTTGAATGTAAAGTGTTAAGTATATGTCTTTCGAAATTTGTAGAATCTAGAAAAATCCCAAAGTGAAATATATAATTGTGTCAGAATTTACATTAGTATAATACAATATTATGTCTCCGCAATAATATTAATGAGTCGCCGTGTGTTGGATTATACTTTCTAATCAGTGGCGAACGTTTAACCCACATTGGAACGCGCATGATTAAGTAATTGCCCGTAATAAGAAATTAGCATGAAATTGACGTTAAGTCAGCTGATCCAACAGGCACGGCGCGGTTGGGATTTAATCTGTAATTTATGATAATCTCGTTATTATACTCGTTCGCCTAGATTTTAATTCTCGCCCGTGCTTAAATCGTTCGCGGTATCGCAGTATAAATTAACGAATAATACGCGATAACGGGATATGGCGGTAACATTGTCACCGAAAAAGTAGAAGGTCCCTCATTTCTGGTATCGCAGCGACTAATAATTGTCTATTATTCTTGCGCTTAATTAAATTTGCGATAATAATCACGCTATAATGAATTTAAGTAAATACGATATGAATGAGCGCTTATATTTCTATTCCCCGGATTTTGCCTCATTTTTATGAAAAATATCATTCTTCTAATCCGACTCTAATTAAGCTCTTTTTCGATATAAAGTTACGTACATTTTTCTATGCATTAATCGCATATATCTCGCGAATAGATTCGAAAGACTGTAGGCATTAAAAATAAAAGTTCTGCTTTGTTTCCTCTCACGCAGACGTCTCCGTATAGAAAGATATTTTTCAAATTCATTTGATTCATAATAAGAAACATATTCCATGTTTCGAACTATAGTACACACATATATATATAACAAAAATTTCATGGAAGTGTGTTTACTCTTACTACATGTGTAATAGGGTAGAAAAAATATATTAATATTAAATTTTATGAATAAAAATATATATTGAATGAAAAGAGAGCTATATGCGAAACAAAGGATAGGTATTGAAAATATGCTATGAACGTGAGAATTTTAATAAAAATTAATTGTATTAAATTAAATTACCCATGTGCGTCTTTCTCTCTTAATTAATTACTCATTATTAATTTCCATATGTAATCCGGCTTATTACCCTCGTTACATTTTTTTATATAAAATATTCGTTATTCTTTTCACCATTTTTATCACGCGAATCTCTTATGGCATACGGAAGTAAATATGTCTCGTTTGTCTTCGTCACTCTGTTCGATATATTGTCCTCTCTTCGCTTTTTCTTTTTCTCTTCCTCTCGCTCGTTATCATCGTTATCATATCTTTTTTTTTATTCTTTGGGATGCTCGCGTCTGTCTGCAATCTCGATGGAACTTCACCGAGACTTGACCTACTATCGTGGATTAAGTTTATCGTCGATTAAACGCAGAAACAAAAACATAGAGAGGGAAAAAAAAAAATATCGGATAGTGTGTGCTGGAATTTGGCAAAAATAGCGAGAATATGCGCAAATTAACTGTGTTAATTGTAATTAAATTTGATTGCATTTTCTGATCGTTTTGAATGGAAGGCACATAGACCATCATTAATTAATATTGTTTAAATGGTCAAAAACTTGTCAGCAAAATGATTTTAGGCCTTTAATCGATCGCATTAGTTAGTGTTAACATTAGTACTAACTGTAATTAGCTAAATCTTTTTTCACTATAAATTATATATTAAAATATATATAATTATAAATTATATAAATTATATATAAAAATATATATAATTAATATTTCTGACATTATATAGAGACATTATATATATGCATAGATATAAATTAATTTTCACATTGGAAGTTTTGTTTTTGTACTTTATCTTTAAAACTTTCACTGTCTTATTTTACAACATGAAAAAAATATTATTGCATTTTATTAAAATTCCAATAAAAATCTCTTATCAAATTGCACAAGCGCTACGTTTTCAATTTCTTGCCGCCAGATAATACGCCAGCTGAGTTGGGGTGTCACGTGTTCGCCATTAATGGCTTATCATTCTTTATCGTTTTTAACCTCTCGTGAATCGTCGCGCTGTCGAGGTTAAGTTATGTGTGATATCACGTTTTTTTTTAGCGTGCCTCCATCGATGAAACGATTCTAACGTCATTATCGTCGTCTTTGTTGTTCGATAATATTGACATTGACAGTTGCGGAAATTTGATCGCGTCGATAATATGATGCAGTCGCGAAACATATGTTCCATCTGTCAAACATAGAGATCATCGACAAGTGTCGCTCACTGACAGTTAGTAGGATGCAATAGCAACGGTAGCGCGCAAAATGTCATCGTATCGTACGAATGATAACCCCGTATACTTCTTTGAGGTTAAACATACCATTCTCTCGTATCATCGTTCCACGTTTTACGTATGTCATTGGTGCGAATTTTAACTAATTCCGCGAGCGCATTGCGTTTCGCGCTGGTGAACGCACGTGATATCGTGCCGCACGTAATACATGAAAGATTGCGATGATAACGGTGGCATTGAAATAATGACTGTGATAGCACCAATTTCTTCCGCATTGAAAAGCGATAACGCAAGTCTAAGCGTGGTGCACGCTTTTGTTTCAGCTAAAATATAATATGGCCTTGCTACGTTACACATGGATTTTGATATTACTAGGTGAGATGTGAAAAAGACAGAGACATATGTTAAAGCATCTTTTGCTTTATATTGTGTACATTATATATTATCTTTTATATATTTGCAGCTTTAACATATGTTCAGGGAGACCTTAAAGTGTCAACGCAGGATTTGAAAGTACTTCTCAATCAGCAAGAGAAATTTAACTTCTCCTTGACGTGAGTATAGTTTGTTACGTGTCGTTAACTTGTGCTATCGCATCATGCTGCACTATGGATATCATCGAGTACTTATGGATTTTATTGGCTATTACATATTGCATTGCATGGGTTGCTATATTGCTTCTAGGAGCTTCTGTATATATTTGCAATATTGGCATTGTAATAATAATGTCTATGAATTTTAGTGACAGAAATTAATGTTGTATATAAATGATAATAGTATTAAAACCAACATGTGTATATTTTATGATCTCATCCACATTCCACTTGTATCACTTAATCATAGCATGCTACAGTCATGACAGGATGGTCTTATCATATATTATAAAAGTACTGATAACAGTAAGCGGATAATGATACTATTATAACATGATATCATTCCTGGACTTTACACTTTATCATCCAATTTACCCAAATATTTGAGAAATAGCTCATTCATTTTGGTGTGTTTAAAAATTATGTTATAATTTTGCGCATGTGTGTGTGTGCGTGTTTATATATATATATATA